TCCCTTCCCTTCCCTTCCCTTCCCTTCCCTTCCCTTCCTTTTTTTTCCTTTTTTCCTTTCTTTTCCCATTTCTTTTTTTTTTTTCTAATTCACCCCAGTTGAATATAATGGATTTATTTTCTTACAAGTGCAAAACTAGCCTAAAGATTCATGTGAGATGATTCACTGAGGCTTTCCATACATTTAACGTGTATGTGTGAGAGAACATTTTTCCCCAACCCAGCCACTCTCAGAAAGACAGTCCAGCTGTTGGCTTCTTTCACAGCAAGGGATCAGTCCACATTGCTTTACATTTTCAGTGCTTGTCATGCAAGTCAGAAGGTAGCTTAAAGACTTTGTAACTTAAAGCTGAGATTCTCCAAAGCCTCCATAGATCATGGGGCTTATGGTTTTCATTGAGTCATAGCTTTGAGACTTTAAAGGCCAGAGAGGAGCATTAGATCATAGTTCTAACTTGTACACTGCGGTAATTACACTTCAGTCACTTACTCCTGTGCTGAGCTCAGTCATTTCTGTTTGCCTAAAATGTATCTTTTATAAAATGCGTATGCCCTTGATCTGAAGACATCAACCATTGCTTCCCTCACTACTTTATTCCCGTGATTACTTAAACCCCTAGTTATAAATGTATGCATTATTCTAATTTGAGCTTTTGTGGCTTCTGTTCACAGGCATTGATCCTTGATATGCTTTTTTTTTTTTTTTTCCTTTAAGAACAATTATTTACTTCCCAGCACTTTCTTCTCTTGGAAGTACTCATACACCATAATCAAGTCACCTCCCATTCTCTTTTTTGATAAACCAAACAGATGGTGTTCTTTCATCCCTCATTAGAAACCTTTCTAGTCCTTGAATCATTTTTGTGGTTCCCTTCTGTACTTTCTCCAATTTGTCTTTTTTTTTTTTTTTTTTTTTTTTTTTTTTAAGTGGACAACTGATTTGTACAGAAGAATCCAGTGTCCACTTCACACACACCATACAAAGAATGCAGTCAGTCACCCTTTCACCCTCTCTACTCCTGTTCAATACTCCCCTGTTTATATGCATATGGATTTTACAGCACCCTTTCTGCCACAGCAACACTACAGAAGATCACACTGAGCTTCTTGTCCTCTGCTTCTTAGCTGCTTCCTTACAGTTTCTTGGCCCAAAAGCTTTCCTTACCTAACTTGCCTTATGTCCATAGCACGCTGGACTTATTTGAATAGAGCTGATACAACAGTCAGTTTACTGATTTCCATTTTCCCAGATGTTATTGCATTCAGTATTGCTATGAAGTCCAGCTCCTGCAAGAATGTGATTCTTCAAGAACTTTCCCTTTCTTTTAAAAAAGTGAAAACTTTTTGCTTCAACGCAGTCCTTGCTGGACACAAAAGAAACATTACAAAGTGTAAGTTTTATAAAATTGAAAAGATAAAATTTATGAAGCTTTATACTTCCAAAATTAATGTATCTTTTTTTTTTTTTATTACAAGGCTGAGGGAATTGTTTGAAAAGTTTAACAAAGAACCATGAAGAAGACTAAAAGCAAATGAAGAAATAAAGGGAAAGCATCAAAATGTATAAAGAGCATAAAACTGGAGGGGAAAAAACAGCTACTCTGGGTTATTTAATATCAGTGTATGTTCACATCTGTGATTTTATTTCTATCTTAACAGACCTCATCCAGATACAACTATAGAAAGAGTAACTGAACTAAAACTATGCATACATATCTGAAAATTAGCAGAATACATCCTGAGCAAATAAAGTTACATGGAAATCTGTATTATGAATGGCTGTGACTGCAATGCCACATTGATTTTACCCCTGAATAATATCGTACATTAGAGAGATCTATAACATAGCAAAGTTCATGGCTGGATGATTCAGACACTCTTTAAGAGGTCAAAAGAGATAAACTGAATGACCAAAAGAAAAAGAAAAAAACAACTTCTTTAAAAAGTCAGTTTCCCTTTTATTAGAAAAAGCTACTTTCACTCAGCTTTCCTATGTACTAAGTTATTTATAGAACTCTGTATTTTATTTAAATATTTGTATCTCAGTAGATACAAACAGAAGATGTTTCTTTCCTACAGTTACTAAATAGGTTTCAGGAATTTACTGAAAATACACACAAAACCTGCTGTGATTTCTGTGGGCCAAGGCAATTTTTAAGTTATGCCTAGAAATTCAACTTACACACTGCAGAAAAGGGAACAACAGTCAGAGGGAGGACATTTATCAATAATTGTTGGCTAACTCTGTTCATTTTAGAAAGGTTTAGCTATGGATTCTGCACATTTTTGTATGCCAACCCTATGCCTTGTATGGGAAAGAGACACAGAGAAGTAAGATTTGCGTAAAATAATCCCTATAGAAACCAAAACACAGCTTAACTCCTTTATTTGTCTTCCAGGTCTAGAATTCCAAATAAGATGCCGATGTTTTTATGGTTTTGCTACAAAAAATTCTATGCAAACAAAACATATGCAAATATATAGCATTTCAAAGTGAATTTTCATTTACCTTAGCACTACTGAGAACTGAGATCTTGATGCTAATAACATACAGTATTTATGTAGAATGGGGTAGAGCAAGCTACAGAGAATGAGGCACATATCTGGAGCAAATCATCAGCAGAGTTTCAGACTGAAACAGTTGTAAATAAACTGAAATTAGCAGTTTCAACTGTGAATAAAATGTTTTTCAAACAAAACCACAACAGAACTGAATTACACTTTACAGTGAGAAGAATTTGTTGAAGATGTAATTTGACGGTAAGTAGCTAAAATAAGAGGGACCTGATTGTTTTAATGAAGAAATGCTAACAGGCAAAACCAAGCACCTCAAGACATCCACCAAATGTGAGCAATAAACAGGCAATAACTGGCTCTGAACAAAAAGCTTCTGGAACAGTGTGAGTGTGCTGTCTCACTTCTGGTAAGCCAGAGTCATAATACTAAACAGAGAACAGGAAGAGCTGAAAGCTTGCTTGCAAGTGGCATGGAAATTTACTCAGATCCATTAGGCATGATCTTAAATCTGCAAAACTCTCATCAAATATATACATATAAAACAAAAGCATGAGGCTATTGCAGTTGATAAGAAAGTGGGTATAAAAATAACTTACTACTCATTCTAGATGCCAACACAGTTGCATTAAAAGTCATGGATTTGAACTAGAGGCATCCCCTCTGCTCATTAGTAAAGTAGGAAACAAGGAAAAAAATGTGCATTTTTTAACATCAAAAGTAATAATTAAACAATCCCTGAGAGACAAATGAGAAAACTATGAAATGGTGAAGGAACAAGTAGAATCAGAAGAATCCAAGAGTTTGTTTTTGAAGACTAGTACTCTACAGAATGTGCTTATGGAGGAAGAAGAGAAAAGATAGCTGTGATGATTCTGTCATTTACAGCACTCTGAGTACTATGCGTGCTCCCAGGCACATTCAACTTTCCTGCAATGACATGTGTACAGTTCTGCACTGAAGGAATCACAGCAGTCAAAACTGTGGTGAGATCACTAAGTACGAAAACTGCATATGCAACAAAATTGAAAAAAAACTGCCTGTTCTTGAACAGAATTGTGGTGCAAGGCCAAAGCTCCTCATGCTTTAGGAGTACAGTATTAAGAAGCTCAGAGAAAAAAACAAACTAGCAAGAAGTGAGTTTCAGTTGATTAAACAATTATGAACTATACATGACAGCACTTTGCACACGCTGGAGCCAAATCATTCTAATATTTTATAGCCCAAAGAATTGCCCCATGGGACATCAAAGTTACTGAGGACGAGGATGTGAAGATGATCATACGTTTGTTAATTTTTTACTAGTAACAACAATGAAGCAACAACTTAATACACAAAGGATTATGTTAATATTTATGTGTGGTGTCTGAGCACAGCCAGAGTGGACAGTCTGATCCTGGTGTTCACGTAATAAAAGTTCTGCTGTCTTCCCTGACACTCTATCCAACTTAGCACCATGCTGTATGGATACGTGTGGGTAAATCATCTGCAGCACTTGAACAGGATGTGTAGACAGGTTTGGTGAATCAGTGACCCAACACCAAGGCAAGAGAATATTATTTCCCTGGAGAGATGACTTTGTAAATGAAAACTTCTAAATGTAAGTAATTTACCAAATCAAATTTTTCTCTTCCTACCATGGAGAGTATCAGCTCTGGGTTTTCATCCAAATTCCAAATTTAAAAGTTGCTTTTCTAACACTAAGAATGTCCACCTATTTCCAAGTTGCCTAGCATATTCTTTTTTCTTTCTTTCTTTTTTTTTTTTTTTTTGTGTGTGTGTGTGTGTGTGTTTTTGTCTCTGAGACCATATCCCTGCAGCTTTGCACAGCAAAAGAATTGCAACTTTCCTGAAATGTCAGCACTGGTGAAAAAACAAAAGAGAGGAAATTGCCACTGGACAAAAACTAAATAGCTACTTAAAACTGCATGGACTCCACAGCACGGAAAGCATTGCTTAATGTAGAATACCTTACTTTCTTTACTGCCACAAGCCAAAATCCTGGGTCACAATTTCAAGTTCATACTCATCCTCCATTTGCACACGTAGCCTCATATCGGATAAATATGAACTTGTCACAACTCAGCCTAGAATTATTACTTTCCTTTTTAAATTTTCCGATGGTAGTTTGACCACAGATCACACAAGTACCTTGTAAGAGGTGAGGATGAAGAGGCTGGTGAGCAGTAAGAACAGCCGTCATCTCATCGTGGTCGGAAGGATGTATATACTCATAAATGCTATTACCAGTAAGCTCCACCTGTGAAGAGACACGTAACACATGAAGCAGTGCTGCTGCCCATCTTTTCTTTCCTATCCCCAAAACATTCTTCAGTGAGCTGTGTATAATGCATTTAGGTAACTACATACCATTTTTTTAAAGCATAAATTGAATGTATCAAAACCACATTCTGAATTTTACCACTTAAACTGAATTAATTCCTTCTTTAGCAGTGACTAATGGTATAGGGCATTTCTGGGAATTTCTGGTGATGATCTGAACATGTAAGAGCTGCTCATGATAAATAAAGTGATAAACTAGAGCAGCTGTAGAAATGCTAGTTGGCTACAAAATTGAATAAAATCTCTAAACTGTATTAATGTCTCTCAGAAAGACAGATATCCAAAAAACAAAACAAAAAAATTTCACAGGTTCCCAGAAGCTATCACCTGCATTCGGGTGGCAACGGAGCCTTCAGAGCCAAACTGTCAGGCTTGCATATTTCTTCTATATTATTTTTTCCAGTGATCATCCACCACATTCCACGCACAGTAGTACACAGAGCTCAGAACAGTAACCAGTGAATTCAAAAGACAGACTGGACTTCCGTAGATTTTCACAGGCACTGGCTTGAGCCTTTGCTGCCTTAAGTAAACATGCACAGAAAATAGACTAGGAGTTCTTAAATATTTGTATTCCCTCTCTTTGCTCGTACTTTGCTTGAACAGGAATGTGTTTCTGTCTTTCACACTGTTGTACCCATAATAACTGTTGCACAAAAAAAATGAGCGGCATGTGCCGTACGTCCTTTTTGCTAACTCTGTTTGCCACGTATAAAACTCACCAACAAAAGTCTCCAGATAGATGCAGTAATTGATTTAAGGAGTGAACCAATACTTTGAGCCTGTGTTTTAAATTAGTGTCAGGCTGCCCAATTGTTCACTGTGGCCTGATGTGCCTTGGGCCCCCAAGATCAGAGACAGCTGAGAGGTGAAGTAATTTAGCCTATTCTTCTGAGCCAATCCTACTGATTTGCTAAGATGTGTGAGTTGCTTTTTTCTTTGGAATAAATGAAGTTGTCTACCCCACAAAGCAATCTTTTTCTGAAAATGTTTCTCATAGTTCCATTTTCTGCATTATTCATGGAATGTCTCTTCCCAAGACTATGCAAACTAATCTTTTTTTCTAGCCATCTATTCCCCACTTCTCTCCAACAACCCCTCCCTGCAAAAGCAAAAACACCAACACTGACCTTATATTCTAACCAGAGCAATATTGCACTGATTAAGAGGAAAAAGAGAGAGAGAAAGAAAGAGAAAAAAAAAAAAAGAAAAGAAGGAGAGAAGAGAGGGAAAAAGAGACAGGAAAATAAAAAGAAAGAAGGGGCAGGATGAAGAGAGGAATGGATAAAGAAAGAAGAGGAAGAAGAGGTCTTCATACCTTTTGATATGAAGACTTTCTTACAAATACAACACCAAACAACCTGACTGACAAAATCAACTGCTGTCATCCAGAAGACCTTATGCCATTTCTGCTATTACTATGAGTGTAATCATATCCACACTGGCATGTATCTACTCTCTTAGAGGTATAACACATGGATATCTCTTGATTTTCTGAAAGTAACTACCTACTCCAAAAGACCACTCTCAGAAGCACACATTTGTTCACAGGATCCACAGGACTGGGCCTAAAGTCACATTTCTCTCAACAGTGTGATTTGCATCACAGGGCTTATGCTTAAAATTCAAAAACTAAAGCACTTTGTTAAACTAATGACTATTATTTCTCATTATGCACACAGGAGCATTTTCTGCTCTGATACAGGTATTTGCAAGCCCAGCAAAGTCAGCAGGGGGTGAACACAGAATGCTGAAACCAAAATTCATTGTAAAAATGCTAGTGGAAACATAAAGCCATCAGCAAAGAGACGGGGTCTAAGTAAGAATCAAATAACCAAAATATGTATACATAATCTTGAAACTGACCACAGTCTCCTGCTACACATAGTATGTGCATACTATTTTAAAGCCTACAATGAAACACTGAAAACTGGGGAAAAAAAGTATATGGTTCAATTCATAAACCTTCTAAAATCCCATGCCTCGGGCTTATTGAACCAACTTCCTTGACGCAGCTTTTTAATATCTGTAAATACCTGCTTACTACCAAATGTTGTTGTTTCCTACTAAGAGCTTTTTTATGTGTAACTCAGCTGCACATTTTTTTCCTGCCAAGGAACGATATATAATAAACACAGAGGACTAAGTAGATGGATTCTAGAGCAAATAATTACATATTTTGCCTTTCATATACTGATTTGATGAAAGTAAAATAAACTCCTAGAAAAGTTCAGATATTTGTGGTTAAATATTTCAAGACTTTCAAAAGTCAAAGATAAGCTCAGCTCCCTCGTGGGCCCTGAAAATGGCTGGAATAAGGTCCAGACTTTCAAAATGATTTCCTAAGAGGATTTTATTTTCCATTCTGTGTCCTTGGACTGCAAAGGGAAGATGTATTTGGGGAATCGGAATCTATTTTTTATCCATGTAAAAAAAAAAGAGGCAAGAAATTGACTCTATCTCAGCTAGAACAAGTCAGTTCAACGATGGTCTGAGGCCAATTGAAATTAGATGAAATTAGAGATCCTAACTATTCGTATTTACAGTATTTATTGTTAGAGTTGAGTGGAAAAGCTGATTAAAATCCAAACCCACAGCACTGTTTCTGATTCCCTGACACTGCAAGCAGAATGAGTGAATCTTCATGTTGTTTTTACATTTTTGAACTCTCTTAATTATGTTGGCCAGTGAAGGGTTACTCAGAAGCTCCAAGTTCCTTCTGCTTAAGTTAAACTCAAGATCTACTAGAAGATAAAGGCTGCTGTAGTAGGTATCCAAGAATATCCTGCATAATGTTTTTAAATTGCCTTCTTGCTTAGTTTAAATATATATTTTAAAACAAATTGCACTTTAACTGGAAATTGATGTGTGGAATAGTTAATTGTCAAATTATTTAATAAAAAGGTCTTTCTATACACACTCTAGGAGATTTTCTACAATCATCATCACTCTAGTCTCAGCTTGTATTGGCTGGAACTCCATGAGAGCACTTGTTGAAAATATAGAGTGGGATTATGACTTGGTGAGGGAGACCTGCAGAATTTGCTCCAACAGACCAATCTCATTCTTGTTGCTGTTGGTGGCAAAACTCCCAATGATTTCCAGTGAAGTAGGAACAAGCACTCATTTAGAGCCCAGGGAAGAGTACAGAAATATCCCAGTATTAGTGCAATAATATCCTACTATTTAGGAACAGCCTAGATTTAGTCCTAGTATTATAATTGTCTCTTGAAAAACAGAGCATTGAGCAATATATTAGATTAGAGGGTAAAACAACATCAGAAAAGTGAGCGAAAATCACTGTCTATATAATTGTCCTTTGGATTTATAAATGAAAAGCTGTGTGCTGTTAAACTGCTGGAGTACTCAGTGATTTGATTCCAAAGCATGTCCTTAGGTATCATAACTCTCTGTCCTCTCTGATCTGTAGTTTTCTGACGAATTCAAGGATAGAGGCCATTAATTTACTGGGCTAAAGTGAAATACTTGAGATTTTGAGTATTAAATTGAATTCAAAAAACATGTCCGAATTCTCTAGCTTTCCTTGGCAGCTCTTGCAGGAAGGGCTTATAGAGAGATGTGTGAAACACAGGGGGAACACAGTATGTGCAGAGGACCATAAGATCATAAGGGCTAGAGATAATTAAAGCCTTCATGATGCTTTCAGTCCCTTCTCCTTGAGTGTGGCAAAGTTGATCCACCAATCTACTCAACATGCAGGTCTTTAATTTCACCAGATGACTGGATAATATTGAGACCTCCTAGATTCGATGAACTGATATTCCACTAAACAAACAAACAAACAAACAAACAAACAAAATCTGGACAAAACCTAAATCAGTTAGCACTTATCAAACAGACCATACTCCAGCAAGAGCAGATGGTAACATTCAGTCCTTCGGAACAATTGTACTGACTCAATCCTATTTAAGTAGTCAGCAACGTTGTGGACCTTTTCTACATGTTAGCTTCTAATAAGGCTGCTGATTCAGAGAAGAAAATGAGGCCATTTGGAATAAAGTCTATTCTAAAACAAAGTACTATTTGAAGTAATTTGAATGTGTATTAAATGATATGAAACAACAGATACTATGTTGTAATAGACTCAATTGAAAAACTGCTTGAAATATGAATGTTCCCTGGACGCATTTTTAAAGTTGGCAGAAAAAAATGTATCCATGCAAAACACTGATCTTCAAAATTACTTTTTGTAAAGGAGATTAGAAAAACAGTGACCACAGTTCCCTTTGTATTTAGAAATTAGATATATGAGACGAAATATTTGCTTTTTCTATCCATCTTTTGAGTTCTGTTTTTTTTTTTTTCTCATAGCTACTAATTCCAATTCCAGTATTGTAAACACATCTAGAGAACTTTACCATTTTTCAAACAAAAATATTTATTACTACCAAGATAAAGTATTCATACTCATCCCCTTCTTTGTTCCCCGAATACCTTGCCTGTAACAGAACATCTTTCTCTCTCTCATTTTCATCTCCTTCTTCTTCTTCTTCTCTCTACTATTAATTTTTCACTTAATTTTATTTTAAACTAAGAAGTGTTCCAGCTGCAACCAGTTCCAAAGAAACAGTTCTGTTTCTTGGAAGTCTCATCCGGGGCCCAGTGAAATTAATTAGGAATTTTTCTATTGGACTTCAGCAAGCTTTAGGTCAGGTGCTACCAATGAAACTGTGTAACACATTTATACACAAATGTATGGAAACTTGCACTCCTCAATAAATTCAGGCTGTTTGCCCTTGCGTCTAACCCAAGAAGGCAAAAAATTAGAAATATCCTTCTAACAAAAAAAAAAAAAAAAATCAACAATAAAAAACCCTTATACTTCTTGTGCAGAACAGTAGTAAACTGAGTTTTATGAGTTCTATCACAACCATATAAAACGCTTTACTGAAAAGACCACTGAGCTGGAAAAACTCAAGAAAAACTACCTTGAATTCCATGTGAACACTCATAAATCTGCCCCCTTTTCTTTTTTTTTTTTTTCCTAAAGAACGTTTACCATTAAACTCGTGTTCCACATCAGATTTCCTCTCTATTTCATAGCAAGTCTCAATATCTCACACAATCTAAAACATATAGCCTTGAATTCTAAACTTCATTTCAGATGTGTAGCATTACCACACAGGCAAAGAGGCTTGGGTTTCAAGCTCTGCGTATATCTGCAATTTGCAATATCGTATTATTTATTACCCTTCTTAAAGGTAATGAGGAGTAAAATACAATGAACAAGGATATAAAGACAGTCGTGATGTGGTTGTAAGTATAGGAAAACTGAATATTTAAATAGGGCCATTTATCAGAAAACAAAGTTGAAGCTTCAAATACCCCTAAAAAATGATGACTTTCTATATGTATGGCCAGATACTCGTGTTAGATTCCAAACGCAACATCCGCATTTAACAGATGGGCAAAATAAATCAGTCCTACCTGAGATAAGCCAAGATGTACAGACGCTGTTTCTGAGATGTACATTATTTTGCCATCTGAGGCTACCACAAAAACAAAGCCATCCAAAGTCTGTAGAAGAGAAACACATAGGTTAAAAAGAAAGCATTCTGTTTAAACCATTTATGGCAAAGAAGTATTTGAAGTCTTTTGGATTAAGATTGTTATCCAACTTAAAGAGCAGAAAACATCACAGTTCAGAAATAGAGACCTTTATCTGAAGCTGTTCCTACAAACTCTATGGCATGTGCACACGTTGTGAAATCCAATTCATTCCCCCTACAGATGAGAGCTTTACTGCTCACTTTGAGTTAACATTCTCCTGTTGATTCTGGTTATTTTAGTACTTAGCACAAATCCTGAGCTATGTGGTGCTTAGGGGAAAATCTAGTACTACGCAAGCCATTTTTTATGCTGTAATTGGCAGATGCAGATTACCACTATTTGCAATATATTTAATGATATTATAAGCAAAGCTTAAGATTTCTTTGACTATATTTGTATTAATGTATTTCTGAACATGGGACTGTTTGCTAAGTAACTAGGTTAACTTAGAAAAAAAAAAAAAAAAGTAATCAAAACAGCATTCAAATATCTCACACTGAAGAAAGACACTTATACTCATTAATTTATATGCCCAGAGTTTGGGGATCTGAGCTAATGGTAATATGTTATGCAGATTCTTATTGATGGGAATATTAACTGGATGTTAAATATTACTTATGTGAGCAAAAAAACTGAAGTTTAACTGTGCTGTGTGTCATTTGTGCAAGAAAAAATAACTGGCCAGGATTAGGACATGTGACCTATTGATGCAGAGCGCCTTCATTCTTGCCCTCGATTCTTCTGTGCACAAAGTTAGACATTTTTTTCTAGAGTATCTGATTCCCCCAGCCAAAAACTATCTACTATCTCCTATCAATTTTGGAAGCCTCGATCAATATACACGTGAACATTATTGGAAAAGATAAAGTTCTTTTTGCAGCATGTAGGTAAAGCAGACACCAATTTTAATTTATATTTTAAGTTATTGAACCGGAAGGGAAGCAATAAAATCCTGAACTTCATGCTTCTACTCTGCTGCCCCTATAAAAATATATAAATACATATTCCAAATTATTCTCTGGATTACTGACTCCACAGTATGTAATTGAAACCAGATTACTCTTTGCTTTCGCATTTTTTCCTTTTTTAGACCACAAATTTCATAGCAGTATTACAGTGGAAGATAAATTATTGCATCTTTGACCATCACTTTTCAGCTAAGCACTGTCATCCTGCAATTGATCCACCCGACTGGACCTGTGGCTATCTCCCCTCACAGTGCAGCAGGTTTCCCCTACAGAAAAGCACAAGCTGAAACATCCCTTGTTAAGCTTCAGTCTAAGGACCCTTCAAAAAGTCTACAGAAAATTTGCTGCTGTTAAAGCAGTTGTAATTCACGAATAAGTGAACGGTAAAATGAGTATAACAGGCGATTGACAAATATTATTTAACTGGCGGAGGAGCAAGTGCACCAGCCGCGATTTTCGTCCTCGATGACTTTTGCCCTCGATCCTTATCCTTGATAAGGGTTTTAAAGGCAGACCGACGGTTGTGAACCTGCTGCCTGTATTCAGAAATAGGTGGGAGCTGCACTTCCAGACGGCCTCGCACAGCACAGCCGCCCCCTGAGCTTGAGGGGCCGAGGCTGAGCCGGCCACCCCTCGAAGAGGGGTTCGAGCCCCTCACAGAGCGCCTGTTGACTTTTTATATCCCCCCCGAGCGCACGGTGAAAACAACGCCGGTTCTATGACCAGAAATTAACCTCCAGCCGTAAAACCGGCCGTTAAACGATTACGGTTTACTACGTCTTTAAAAGCAGGGGGAGGGAAATAAATAAATAAACAAACAAACAAATAAATAAATAATCCTGGCAGTATTAAAGTTCACATATTAAAAAAAAAGAAAAAGAAAAAAGAAAAAAAAAAAAGAGCTAAAGGTAATTATTATTATTTTTTTCCTCCGGCTGGCACACACTGCGACTTCTTAAGTTCTCCCACACAGTGAGGATTGAGAAGAACTGCAGCGCGGATCGGCGGGACATGAGCGCTGTGCTTCCAGGTGCTACTGCCGGCAGATCGAACCCAGATGTGCCTCCCGCCCCCGAGGAATGAATCCGCTACCTGAAGCAAGTGGGATCCGAGCTCCTTGGCCACGTTATCCATGGGCCCTATCCTGCTCGGCTGTCCCCAAGCGTCTCCCAGACCTGCGAAGGTGAACGAGGAGATGGTTAGAGCGGGGCGACGAGTCCGGCCGCCCTCCCGCCCGCTGCAGGCCCCGAGCTCCCCGCAGCCCGCCCGCTCTCCCCAAGCAGGGAAGGAAATGGCTCTTTGCGTGTGGAAATGCCGCCAAGGGGACTCCCGCTGCCCCCCGCCCGCCACATCGCGGCCCTCTTGGCCGGGATACGGCAGCCACACAGCGAGAGAATCTCAGGGAGAGAGTCTGCGGAGAACCGCAGCCCCTCCGGTCTCCTCCCGTCCCCTCACGGAGCGCGGATCTGCGCAGAGCTGCAGACCCGCAGCGGAGCGATGCTCTGGGCGTCTCGGCCTGTTTGTTTATTTGTTTGTTTTCATTTCCTACATGAGAACCAGTGGAATGGCTGCAGGCTGCTGCCGGCAGCAGTGCTCAGACGGAGGTGAAGGCGCATCCATGTCATGCTTCTTTTTTGGAATCTTAAGTCTTATGCCCTCAGAGCCCTTCTACACTGGTGAAATGAGTGCTGTGGAGGTTCAGTCCAGCCAACCTTCACTCGCTGCAAACGGGGCAAATCGCTGTACAGCGTCGAAACCGGGCTAAGCGTTTTCCTCCCGCTGCCTCATACCAACCAGGTGCTTTGAAAGAAAACTCGCACTCCGTCAGGAAGGGAGAGGACGCTGCACTCGGGTGGAAGGCGCTGCCCTGTTCTCCAATCTGGAACGCGTTTGTGAAGCCCTCCCGAAGCCGCATCCCCCTCGGCACCGGTGTGGAGGCGATGGCAGCACCTCTCCGCTCTCCCTCCCTCAGAGACGAAGGTATCTCCCATCCGGGAGGAGACGGGGAGGACTCAGAGCTTCGCCACCCGCGGGGCAAGCACCGAGGCAGGGAAGAAAACGGGATCCCTGGGTGTTCGGAAGCCCTCCGCCCACCGCCGGCTGGCTCATGGCAGTGCCCGAGGCCAAGGTCAGCCCCGGGGGAACAGCTCTTCTCCTGCCCCGCTGCCCCAGAGGTACCCCAGCGGCGATGCTGTTCTGGCTGTAGGGAATGGACACCTTTCTTTCCTTTTCCTTCATTAAAAGCAATGTTTGACCACGCGTGGGAAATATACTTCGAAGAGGCAAACGAAAAGTGGCGCTTTTCTACCGCCTTTACCCAATTTGCAGTTCGAAGTACATTCCTAAACGCCCAAGCACTCGACATCACGTTTCTTTCTTTTCTTTTTTTCTTTTTTTCTTTTTTCATTTTCCCTATTTTTCTTCCTACTGAAATGAACCCTCCACTTTCAAAGGACCGCGGGTTCACCTCGCAGTCTTCCGCACCAGGCGGCAGTGCGCGGACGAAGCGCTAAGTGCCAGCGCTGCGCGGAGTGCCCTCATTTCGATGTCCATCACTGAGGGTAGGGAGGTGTTGCTCAGAGCCGTGCGGGTTGGGCTGCACCGCACCGCCAAACACCGCCGTGTTCTGAGGTTATTTTTCTAAACCGGGCTAAAACCTCCGCTTCCGCAGATCTTTTTTTTTTTTTTTTCCTTTGAGATTTTAAATTGGGGTTACAATCGCGAGCTCGTATCAAACGTAAGCGCGTTTGGGGGGATCAGGCTGACATTCGTCTAAGCTTATTTTAAAGCCAATGATTTTGTCATCTAATCCAGCAGCAGATCGGTTTGGAGGTGGAAACGAAACGAATAAATCCGACGTTCGGCTGAAGGAGTGCCGCGCATTAACTCCTCTTCCTACAGGTTTGCCGCTGTGCAGCCTCCGTCCCGTACACATATGGATGCAATACATATGAATGCAATACTCCGCGGCGCTCCCGCTGCCCCGCCAGCAAATAACGCACATTTTCACTCACTGCGCTGGATCGGGGCCAAAGGCGCTGCCGATACAAAGTGAGCGTTCTAACAAAGCTCCCTTAGGCGACGGGAGCTCGCTGTGACGGCTGCGGCAGGGAAAGTTCTCCTGTGTCCGCGAAGAAAACGCTTAAAAAGCCCCATTTTGGCACGCATTAGCTCGGACAGCCGTGCCCGTCTCTGTCGCGGATCCCGTCCCATTGGGGGAAGGGCAGCACTGCGGGGCTGGACGGTCACAAAGGGATGCGGTGCGCGGGGCCGCGGGGCCGCGGGGCCGGCTCCCACAGCCGCAACCCTGCGCGGGAAGGTCTGGCATGGGAACCCCAACGTAGGAGCAGCTCCCAGCGCAGGAATACGCAGGACTTCTCGTCCCTGTCCTCTGTCAGCCCTGGGTTGAGTTTCCCCGACGCTCACATCGCCTTTTGACACCTCTTGCCGTTTACTTAGGGCGCTCACTCGGTGCCATTCCCCAGTTTCTGGGTAGGAGGGAGAGTTAAACCGTAATAAGATCTGGAAACCTTTGGGATCAATCCCCACCTTTGCTCTTCAAACATATATAAATTTGTACACACAGTAGTGAAAGCCCGGTAGCTTTTCTGTTTGGGATTCTGCTACAAGAATTACTTAGCGATGTATTACGCGAGTATCGGATTGCCCTCTAACTCAGAGCATTTCCTTTGTGTCTACCGTACTGTTTCCCGGCTCCCCGGAGCGCGTGGTGCCCTCCTGTTATTCAATAGCCATCCTTCAACCTGGAGCGGCCACAACTGCCTGGATTTGCAGTTCTGCCTCCCTTTGGGGGACTTGTCTCCAGCATCGCGTAGGCGGGGGAGAGCGAAAGGGAGCGACCCTCACCTCGAGGGTCTGCTCTGGCTTAGGCGGGGACATAACTGACCCTTGCCCTAAAACACGTCCGCAGAGACGTATTCCAAACCAGACGGCTGCCCCTCTCGGGATGAGGACGGGTCCCCAGGGTCGGAGCGATCGGGGAGCCCCGGCGGGGCGAGCGGCTCTCGAGGCGGGGAGTGCAGGCAAGGAGGAGAGGGGCTGCCTGGCTTCTATCGAGAAGAGTTTCAGCCTCCTATCTGCGCAACCGGCGGAACGTTTAAAATGAAAACGTTTAAAAGTTTTTTAAAAATAAGAAAAAAGTGAAACGACGGTTCAAAGAGAAAACCCAATAAATGCCCTCCGGCACACCCGGTCAAGCCTATCTCCAACTGTACCCCAGCAGCAGCGGATGTCCCAGGATCCCCTCCCTGCGCCGGAGCAGCCGCGGAGCAGCGGGAAGCCCTAAGAGCACCAGGTGCGAAGGAGAGCCGCCGCGCCGCCGGGAGCTGTGCCGCTATAGGCGAACATTCTCGGCCTTGGGATTAATTAATTCGATTAATTAATCCGTTAACAAAACTCTCTCGAGCACACGCAAAGATTCGGCGTAATAGCAGCAACGAGCCTTAATATGTACATTCACAGATTCATACTCCAGCTACTTGTATAGACCGAAAGCTCAGTTTTCTCCTTATAATTTCTACTGCCTTAGAATGAGGAACAGGTCTCGGCTCCACTATGGAGTCACTTCCTTGTGATTATGTTGTACAGAGCACAGCGTATTGCTGGTCAGTTCTTAAGCAGTGCATCTCTATTCAGTTGGGATATCCGTCATAGAGTTCTACCGTCAGTTTTGGAAACTGCCTAGGGGCCGGGAGAGATAGGGGGTCACAACTGAAGACAGAGCCGTGGTTGGGAGAGAAAGGCACTGCTTGTAAGCTCAGTGGATCCTCGTGTGCCTTTCTTTCATTTGTTCATTTTTAGAAACATATTTAGATACAAATAAGCAGACAGCCAAGATAGAAGTCCCATGGTATATTTTTCTCCTATAATCAGAAATGCCTTGGCAAAAAATCAGAGCGCAGCAGAAGTCAGAGCACGGGGGAGGCTGTAAGGTTGCTGTCTCCGGGACTATAATTCAGGAACGTAGGAACGTGAAGGTCAGAGTAAAACCGCACAGCAAATTGTGTGATGCGGGCTCAAGAAGCTCCGAGCTTTCTAGAGCTCTCATTGTCGAGGTGAAAGGAGCCGTGAGGTCAAACTCCTTTCGCTCTCACTTCCCTGAGCCCGAGCGGGCGGCTCCTTTGAGATCTCGGTGAAAATCGCGCATCTTCGGGAAAACCCGGCCAGAGGCAGCAGGGGGACCTGGCTGGCCCCATTACAGACCTGTAGAAACTATGAAGCCATCTTGGCCAGGACACTTCGGTGAGGGTCCCAAATTTTGCTTAAACTGCGCGTCAGGACGCCTAGAAAATAACTGGAAGGGGGCAGGTAAAGCCATCTGTGGAGGTTTTTAAAAACACAGCTCTCCCCCCCTCCGTCCTTTCTCATCCAGTCTAGACAGAACTGGAAGCCGGCTTTATAGCCGGACAATACCTCGGATACGTCTGGCTGCCCCGGGCCTAGCACGCGTGCTGGTGGGGGTCTCGGACCCCTTCCCCCCCCCACTCCCCACAAGAGACCGTCTGGGAGAAACAAAACCCGCTCAGATCTTCGGGGGCGATGCCGTAGGGCTGCTGCAGAATGCCGGCGGCAGCCTTGGTGGGGGGTGGGGGGGGACTACGGCCGTGCCCCTTCGGGGGCGACCCCTGGGGGAGCAAAGGCCAAGGAGGGGAGCCGCTTTATTGCAAGCCCCATTCCCCCGGATATACGCCTACCCCGCCCTCCCTGCGTGCTCGAAGGGGTTCTTTCCTCGCGTTTTGCTCAGCCGGAATTTAAGGTGCGCTGCTGGCAGCCCTTTCTGGTAAAACTCACTGGAAACCGTTCTGGAGAAGGAAAGGAAGCCTCAGGAAGGGCAACTGGGACAGAGCCGCTCCGTGTCCCGTCCGGCGGCCACAGCCCGCCCCGAGAGCCGCACCGCAGCTGCACCCCATCCCCCTCCTCTCCCCGGGCCCCCACTCTGCCCCGCGGTCCCCGGGCTCTCAGTGCTCAGCACCCGGCTCGGAGCCCGGCGGAACTGCTTCCCCCCCGGCTCTGTCATCTCCGGATTCAAGCCTTTGGTTTTAAAAGTATTTCCACCCGTACTTAAGACGATGAAAGATCAGGAATTCACCCTACGCATTTAAACGTTGCACTTAATAAGCAGAGTGTGCAGAAGCGCACGCCTGGCCTGTTTAAGGCGGACAGACACACCAAGCACGGTCGAGCTGCGGGTATAAACCTGCTCCCGGCTTCTGCCCATTGCTCTCGAGGAGCAGCAGCTCCTGCGCTGCTCCCTGCCCGCCTAACCCGGAGTGTTCCGGACACGCTCCCTGCCCCGAAATGACGGCGATGCTTTTTTAAGGGGAAAAGTCCCCGCACGGGACAAAGGCTCTAAACTGCAGCGCTGCCAGTGCACGCTCTCGAAATTACTGAATTCGATGGGCAGAACGGTAAGAGCTTGACGGGTTGATAGTATACTTCCCCCCCCCCCGCAGGCGGGGGGGGGGGAAGAGCGTCGATAGCCGGTAGGGGGGGGGGGGGGTTGTGTTGTTTTTTTTTTTTTTTGTTTGGTTTTT